AAAACGTTCAAACTCGCCAAAACAAACACTTTTCATAACAACAAGCCAAACTCATCAAAAGAACACTAAAACAACAGCTTAACGCATTCATGCCATTACACATGCTCAAAAACCTTCAAACTCGCCAAAACAAACACTTTTCATAACAACAAGCCAAACTCATCAAAAGAACACTAAAACAACAGCTTAACACATTCATGCCATTACACATGCTCAAAAACGTTCAAACTCGCCAAAACAAACACTGTTCATAACAACAAGCCAAACTCATCAAAAGAACACTAAAACAACAGCTTAACACATTCATGCCATTACACATGCTCAAAAACGTTCAAACTCGCCAAAACAAACACTTTTCATAACAACAAGCCAAACTCATCAAAAGAACACTAAAACAACAGCTTAACACATTCATGCCATTACACATGCTCAAAAACCTTCAAACTCGCCAAAACAAACACTTTTCATAACAACAAGCCAAACTCATCAAAAGAACACTAAAACAACAGCTTAACGCATTCATGCCATTACACATGCTCAAAAACCTTCAAACTGGCTAAAACGAACAATCTTCATAACAACAAGCCAAACTCATCAAAAGAACACTAAAACAAATGCTTAACGCATTCATGCCATTACACATGCTCAAAAACCTTCAAACTCGCCAAAACAAACAATTTTCATAACAACAAGCCAAACTCATCAAAAGAACACTAAAACAACAGCTTAACACAAGGGATTACTAATTCAACACATTCATGCCATTACACATGCTCAAAAACGTTCAAACTCGCAAAAACAAACACTTTTCATAACAACAAGCCAAACTCATCAAAAGAACACTAAAACAACAGTTTAACACATTCATGCCATCACACATGCTCAAAAACCTTCAAACTCGCCAAAACAAACAATGCTCATAACAACAAGCCAAACTCATCAAAAGAACACTAAAACAACAGCTTAACACATTCATGCCATTACACATGCTCAAAAACCTTCAAACTCGCCAAAACAAACAATTTTCATAACAACAAGCCAAACTCATCAAAAGAACACTAAAATAACAGCTTAACACAAGGGTTAACTAATTCAACACAAACATGCCATTAAACATGCTCAAAAACCTTTAAACTCGCCCAAACAAACAATGTGCATAACAACAAGCCACACTCATCAAAAGAACACTAAAACAACAGCTTAACACATTCATGCCATTACACATGCTCAAAAACCTTCAAACTCGCCAAAACAAACAATGTTCATAACAACAAGCCAAACTCATCAAAAGAACACTAAAACAAACAGCTTCACACATTCATGCCATTACACATGCTCAAAAACCTTCAAACTCGCCAAAACAAACAATGTTCATAACAACAAGCCACACTCATCAAAAGAACACTAAAACAACAGCTTCACACAAACATGCTATTACACATGCTCAAAAACCTTCAAACTCGCCAAACAATGTTCATAACAACAAGCCACACTCATCAAAAGAACACTAAAACAACAGCTTAACACATTCATGCCATTACACATGCTCAAAAACCTTCAAACTCGCCAAAACAAACAATGTTCATAACAACAAGCCAAACTCATCAAAAGAACACTAAAACAACAGCTTAACACATTCATGCCATTACACATGCTCAAAAACCTTCAAACTCGCCAAAACAAACAATTTTCATAACAACAAGCCAAACTCATCAAAAGAACACTAAAACAACAGCTTAACACATTCATGCCATTACACATGCTCAAAAACCTTCAAACACGCCAAAACAAACAATGCTCATAACAACAAGCCAAAACTCATCAAAAGAACACTAAAACAACAGCTTAACACAAGGGTTAACTAATTCAACACATACGTGCCATACTACATGCTCACAAACCTTCAAACTCGCCAAAACAAACAATGCTCCTAACAACTAGCCAAACTCATCAAAAGAACACTAAAACAACACCTTAACACAAACATGCCATTAAACATGCTCAAAAACCTTCAAACTCGCCAAAACAAACAATGTTCATAACAACAAGCCAAACTCATCAAAAGAACACTAAAACAACAGCTTAACACATTCATGCCATTACACATACTCAAAAACCTTCAAACTCGCCAAAATCATCAATGTTCATAACAACAAGCCAATCTCATCAAAAGAACACTAAAACAACAGCTTAACACAAGGGTTAACTAATTCAACACAAACATGCCATTAAACATGCTCAAAAACCTTTAAACTCGCCCAAACAAACAATGTGCATCACAACAAGCCAAAATCATCAAAAGAACACTAAAACAACAGCTTAACAAATTCATGCCATTACACATGCTCAAAAACATTCAAACTCGCCAAACCAACAATGTTCATAACAACAAGCCAAACTCATCAAAAGAACACTAAAACAACAGCTTAACACATTCATGCCATTACACATGCTCAAAAACCTTCAAACTCGCCAAAACAAACACTTTTCATAACAACAAGCCAAACTCATCAAAAGAACACTTAAAATACATCTTAACACAAGGGATTACTAATTTAACACATTCATGCCATTACACATGCTCAAAAACCTTCATACTCGCCAAAACAAACAATGTTCATAACAACAAGCCAAACTCATCAAAAGAACACTAAAACAAACAGCTTAACACATTCATGCCATTACACATGCTCAAAAACCTTCAAACTCGCCAAAACAAACAATGTTCATAACAACAAGCCAAACTCATTAAAAGAACACTTAAAACACATCTTAACACAATGGATTACTAATTCACCACATTCATGCCATTACACATGCTCAAAAACCTTCAAACTCGCCAAAACAAACAATGTTCATAACAACAAGCCAAACTCATCAAAAGAACACTAAAACAACAGCTTAACACATTCATGCCATTACACATGCTCAAAAACCTTCAAACTCGCCAAAACAAACAATGCTCATAACAACAAGCCAAACTCATCAAAAGAACACTAAAACACATCTTAACACAATGGATTACTAATTCACCACATTCATGCCATTACACGTGCTCAAAAACCTTCAAACTCGCCAAAACAAACAATGTTCATAACAACAAGCCAAACTCATCAAAAGAACACTAAAACAACAGCTTAACACATTCATGCCATTACACATGCTCAAAAACCTTCAAACTTGCCAAAACAAACAATGTTCATGATACAAGCCAATCTCATCAAAAGAACACTAAAACAACAGCTTAACACAAGGGTTAACTAATTCAACACAAACATGCCATTAAACATGCTCAAAAACCTTTAAACTCGCCCAAACAAACAATGTGCATAACAACAACCCAAACTCATCAAAAGAACACAAAAACAACAGCTTAACAAATTCATGCCATTACACATGTTCAAAAACCTTCAAACTCGCCAAAACAAACAATAGAACACTAAAACAACAGCTTAGCACATCCAAGCCATTACACATGCTCAAAAACCTTCAAACTCGCCAAAACAAACAATGTTCATAACAACAAGCCACACTCATCAAAAGAACACTAAAACAACAGCTTCACACAAACATGCCATTACACATGCCCAAAAACCTTCAAACTCGCCAAAACAAACAATGTTCATAACAACAAGCCACACTCATCAAAATAACACTAAAACAACATCTTAACACATTCATGCCATTACACATGCTCAAAAACCTTCAAACTCGCCAAAACAAACAATGTTCATAACAACAAGCCAAACTCATCAAAAGAACACTAAAACAACAGCTTAACACATTCATGCCATTACACATGCTCAAAAACCTTCAAACTCGCCAAAACAAACAATGTTCATAACAACAAGCCAAACTCATCAAAAGAACACTAAAACAACAGCTTAACACAAGGGTTAACTAATTCAACACAAACATGCCATTAAACATGCTCAAAAACCTTTAAACTCGCCAAAACAAACAATGTGCATAACAACAAGCCAAACTCATCAAAAGAACAATAAAAAAAACAGCTTAACACATTCATGCCATTTCACATGTTCAAAAACCTTCAAACTCGCCAAAACAAACAATATTCATAACAACAAGCCAAACTCATCAATGCCATTACACATGCTCAAAAACCTTCAAACTCGCCAAAACAAACAATGTTCATAACAACAAGCCACACTCATCAAAAGAACACTAAAACAACAGCTTCACACAAACATGCCATTACACATGCTCAAAAACCTTCAAACTCGCCAAAACAATGTTCATAACAACAAGCTAAACTCATCAAAAGAACACTAAAACAACAGCTTAACACATTCATGCCATCACACATGCTCAAAAACCTTCAAACTCGCCAAAACAAACAATGCTCATAACAACAAGCCAAACTCATCAAAAGAACACTAAAACAACAGCTTAACACATTCATGCCATTACACATGCTCAAAAACCTTCAAACTCGCCAAAACAAACAATTTTCATAACAACAAGCCAAACTCATCAAAAGAACACTAAAACAACAGCTTAACACATTCATGCCATTACACATGCTCAAAAACCTTCAAACTCGCCAAAACAAACAATTTTCATAACAACAAGCCAAAACTCATCAAAAGAACACTAAAAATACATCTAAACACAAGGGTGAACTAATTCAACACATACATGCCATTACACATGCTCACAAATCTTTAAACTCGTCAAAACAAACAATGTTCATAACAACAAGCCAAACTCTTTAAAAGAACACTTAAAACACAGCTTAACACAAGGGGTAACCAATTCAACACATACGTGCCATACTACATGCTCACAAACCTTCAAACTCGCCAAAACAAACAACAAGCCAAACTCATCAAAAGAACACTAAAACAACAGCTTTACACAAGGCTTATCTAATTCACAACATTCATGCCATTACACATGCTCAAAAACCTTCAAACTCGCCAAAACAAACAATGTTCATAACAACAAGCCAAACTCATTAAAACAACACTTAAAACACAGCTTAACACAAGGGTTAGGGTTAGGGTTAGGGGTTAGGGTTAGGGGGGTTCGGGTTAGGGGTAGGGGTTTGGATTACGGGAAAAGGGGGACTGTCTCCTAGAATTGGAGACAGGAGGTGCACGGTCCATCCCCCTGTTCCCTGTCCCCCACGACCCCGTGTGGTACTGCTGATTTGTGCGCTACGGGCGTCGACCACGCCTTCTCCCTTATCGCACTTCAGTCCATTCTTGCTCATTGTAATTCATGATTGTTTTTAATCTTTTTAATTATTTATTACTATTTATTAATGTGGTGTATTTATTAAACTATCTATTTATTTATCGGTGTATTTATCTATCTAATTTATTTATTTATTCAAATCAAGGTATTTAAAACCAAAACAGTATAACCAAATAAATGCACTGTTCTTATTTTTTTATGCTTTTTTTGTTTTTTTGTGAAATAAAAATGAAATAAAAGGAAATAAAAGTCAAAAAACTAAATAAAACGTCTATCAAAATGAAGAATTGAAGAATAAGGTGTGAAAAAAGCGCCCAGTCACGATGTTTCGACCGCTGTGGGTCTTCTTCAGGCTATGGGCACAAAAAGGGTTAGGTTAGGGTTAGGGTTAGAGGTTAGGGTTAGGATTACGGGAATAGGGGGACTGTCTCCTAGAATAGGAGACAGGAGGTGCACGGTCCATCCCCCTGTTCCCCGTCCCCCACGACCCCGTTTGGTACTGCTGATTAGTATGGTAGGGGTGTCGACCACGCCTTCTCCCATATCGCACCTCAGTCCATTGTTCTTGCTTATAAGTCATGATTGTTGTTTTAACCTTTTTAATTATTTATTGCTATTTATTAATGTGGTGTATCTATGAAACTATTTATTTATCTATCTATCTGTCTATCTATCTATTTATTCAAATCAAGGTGTTTAAAACAAAAACTGTATATAAAAATAAAACAAATGAATTGTTCTGTATTTTTTTAATGCTCTTTTTGTTTTCAGTGAAATAAAAATGAAATAAAATGAAATAAAAGTAAAAGAACTAAATAAACTGTCTATCAAAATAAAGAATTAAAGATAAAGGTGTGGAAAAAGTGCCCAGTCGCGACGTTTGGACCGCTGTGGGTCTTCTTCAGGCTATGGGCACAAAAAGAACTAGAAAAATTGCATTTCCTTGCAGAAAATGTGTGGAAATGCTGAGTGCTGAAAGCTGAAAAAGCAATGCTAAACTGCTAATAAAACATGGAGAAAGGTATAAATGTTAAAGCTGTTGAAAGGGGTGAAAAAGAAATATAAGTTGGATAATGGTTTAATTGGTTGAAGGACAAATAGTATGAATATGCTCTATAAAAGGAAATTTTATTCATGCTGAAAGAGGCTAGAAAAATGTCTAAAATTGCACAAAGTTTGAATGAGGAAGGAAATTGCCTTAAAAGGCAGGAAGGTGACAAGTGGCATAAGTTTAAGTTGTAGAACTAGAAGTAGTGTGATTAGAGGTCAAGTCGTGATACTAGTAGTCATGTAAGCAGTAGAGGTAGTTTGAGAATAAAAGAAGTATAAGTCAAAGTAGTAAAGAAAGTAGAAATAGTAGCAATAGCAGAAGTAGAGAAAGTAGAAATAGGAGCAATAGCAGTTGAAGTAGAGGGGAAAGTACTAGTTTAATTGACATTAGCAGTAGTTGTCGTACTTGAGGTAGGATTTTGTTTGAAGGATGGAATAATGCATAAATATTAAAACTAATTTAAAACATGGAAAATTTAAATAATTAAAAATCCTCGAAGTATCAGAAAGTTTTAAAGTATTAGATAGGCTTGAATCAGTTTGAATGAGTTAAAATTAGTTTGAAAAATTAAATGATAAATCATCACTGAGTGACTTTAAAATGTGAAAAATTTAAATGACTATAAATCCTGAATACACCCCATAATGTCCTCAATGAGCTTAGATTTTAGAGCCCTGAATGGTTTCTGTAGGTCAAAGGTCATGTGAGGAGATACGGGCTGAAGTTTTTTCAAGCGCTCTAGGAAAGGGTTTTAAGTGTCATCCCCAGTGCTATGTGTACTGAGCCTGGCTTTATGTGTCTCATATGGCCATTAAAAGCAGCTTTCCAGTCAGCTGTGTGTCTCTAGGTGCACAAATTGGTTGCCATGGGGACCTTGGATGCATAACTATAGCAGGAGAAAGAAGGCTTGAAGCTAAGGAAACAGGACTCCAAGTAGGCCCTGACGCTCATCCTCTGTATATATTCATGATAAGGAGCTTGTGAGAACACAAGACTCTGCTGAACACATTAATACAATTTATTATCACAATCCTCAAAACACCCCGTAATATCTTCAATGAGCTAAATTTTTGAAGCCCAGAATGGTTTCTGTAGCTCAAAGTTTGTGGGTGGAGATAGGTGGTGAAGCAGACACATATTAACTGTGTGTACAAGCAGCTGAACTGCAAGGTAGACCTCACAAAGCAACAAGTACACGAATGTGTGTGTCTCGTTAATGATTGCATCCTAAACAGCTGTAAGATCAAAGCCATGAACTGACCTATTGTTTGAATGGAGAAGCTGCTGAACTGCAGTGAATTTAGGGTTCTGAACTTCTTCACATAGCACGATTTCCTCAAGTCCCAGAATGAAAATAAGAACATCGTACAAATCCTCCGCCCTTCATGAACACAATGATGTGTTTTTCATGTCTGTACTCCGAAAAATGTGGCTACAACAGCGAGTTAAAAAATCTGAGCCTGAGTGATGATAAGGATTTTCTTGGAGAAAAAATACATTAGGGCCAATGGGGAGAGATTTCCGCCTATTTGGACAGTTGGTCACCTGCTGGCCAAGGGGTAGGGTTTAATGATTTGAAACCTCTTTTGTGAGAAGCAGGACACATATACCTCCATTTTGATGTATTTTTTATGGCTGTGGAGTGAGATTTGTGGGCGTGGGAGCGTTATATTTGAGCGAGGTTCTGTCGATCAGAGACGAGGTCTGCACTCTAGCTTTTCAAATCGTCAAGGGGCGTTCAGTCCAATCGCATCGCTTTGGTCGGTCACGTCGCGCCGCAGGGTGCTCTGGTGTGTTCACACCGGGTCCAAAGCTGCAGTCGCAGGTCGCAGCTGGTCGCCGGTGACGTCATCCATGTCACTAATTTTCAGTTCATCAGTGCTGCTGCATATCTGTACATCCGCAGTAGACGCCGCCGGCGTTTATGGGTGCATGAAACCATCCGGAGGAGGACGGAGCTGGGTGAATTTCACCGCTTGCTCCAGGAACTCTGCCTGGACGACGGCCGCTTAAAGCGGTATTTCCGTGTGTCGACAGCGCAGTTCGAGGACCTCCTCGCCCGGGTGGGAAGCAGCATCTCCCGCCTGGACACGAAATACAGGTGCTCCATCTCAGCTTCGGAGCGCCTGTCTATCTGGACAGCCTGGAAAGATAGTCCTCCTCCTGACTGGTTGAGCGTGCGCATTGCTTCATTCCCTTCCTTGCTGTTGAACTGTGTGTAGCGTTTCGTTCCTCCTGAAAGCGCTCTCTTGCTGTTTTGGTTTTGGTTTATTTTCTCTCTGTAATTTATCAGTACATCTGTTTGTTTAGAAAGTCTGTAAGTATTTCTGATAGTTTTCACCAAGCACCGTTTTTATCTCCACTCCGGGCGATCTCTCTGACCATCTACTTTACTAGCTCCTAGCTTAGCTTCTCTTAGTTACACTTGCTAACGATGGCTTCCCCCCGGTCTCCTGCCTCTCCTGCTCGCTTCTGCTCAGTTTGTCAGATGTTCAGTTACTCCTCGTCCTCCTTAGGCGATAACGATACCTGCTTTAAGGCGACATCGAAGGTAGTTTAAAACTGCTGGCAAAGGCTAAACGTAAATTCCGTAAGATTGTAATACATGTCGGCGTTAATGACTCCCGACGCCGCCAGTCGGAAGTCACTAAATTGAACGTGGAATCGGTGTGTGAATATGCCAAAACCATGTCGGACTCCGTAGTTTTCTCTGGTCCCCTGCCCGATCAGACAACTGATGAGATGTGTAGCCGTATCTCATCATTCAACCGCTGGCTGTCGAGGTGGTGTCCGCAAAACGGCGTGAGCTTCATTGATAATTGGAAGTCATTTTGGGGCAAGCCTGGTCTGATTAGTCGGGATGGCATTCATCCCACCCGAGATGGAGCGGCCCGTTTATCCAGAAATCTGGCCGATTTTATTAATCCGAACCACTGACAATTCAAAGCAGAGATCAGGGAGCAGGGCTGCAGTCTTACACGCCCCCTGCGCCTCTTTTAGAGCAGCCTCCCAGCCACTACCACTTATACACAGAGACAAGGGAGCAGAGCCGCAGTGTAAAACGCCCTTCTGTACTCCCTTCAGAGCAGCTTCCAAGCTACAATCAGCTTGACATAGAAATCAGGGAGCAGAGCCGCAGTGTAAAACGCCCCTCTGTACTCCCTTCAGAGCAGCTTCTAAGCTACTCTTGTTGTGGAAAGTCCAGCATAAACAATGCACAGGAGACATTATGAGATCTGAAGAACAGCCTGGGGCGTCTTTAATAGTACAGATGTAGAAATCAGTACAGATGACAAACAGAGTCTCGACCAAGACCCAAGGAAGCCTTCTCTAGCTTCTCTTCTTCTCTCTTTTATGCTGTTAGGTGGTGTGTGTGTGTGTGTGTGTGTGTGTGTGTGTGTGTGTGTGTGTATGTGTGTGTGTCTTCTCCACAAGGCCCCTCATGATGACATGTCTGCCCCACGACACTTTGTTTAGGTTCGTCTTGACCCTGGCAGAGATTACATGTTCCAACATAACAAATAGTTTGGGCTCCTGCAAGACAGCCTTGCTTACAATCTCATGGTCGTGGGGCTGCAGGAGCAGGCCAACCGAGATTATTTGTACCTTCTTACTAAAAGATAATTACTCTATATTTCTTAACCTAAATGTATGAAGACATTCCCCTACACATCCCCCCTTTGAAAGTTCTTACTTTCACAAAAACCTAATCATCATATCAAACACTAAGCACCATACCATAGCTTGGATCATTTCAAATTATATCAGCGCGTAAGACTGAAAACCCTGCTCGGCTGTTTCAGCAGGGAAAGAATCTTACGGCCCCGCGCCCTGGCGACCATCCATTTCCTCGATGCGCTGACATAATTTCATTTGCATAGAAGAAAGTGTCCACATTTGATAATATCATTATATTACATTGTAGCAACCTGCGACAAACCCCTTGATTAATATCTGATTAACCCCTTGATCAATGTGTGATTAGTGTAGTCCTTTAACTCTGCGAATGAAACATGTTCAGTTCAATATCTCAGCTCATTGAATATGTTGTTTGTGTTGCTCAAAGTCCATTGCTCATCTTCGT